CATCCGCGTGCCCCTCCCCTCCCCCGGCGCCTCTGGAACTCCTGGAGGGCGGGCCGATGACTGGGGACCCTCAGACCTCAGTCTCCGTTCTGGGAAATGGGTGGAGGCGTCTGGGGCTGGCTTGGTGGGTAGGCTGAGGCTCAAGTCCCAGCCCCGCCGCTTTTCTGTGGCCTCGGGGACCCTGCGCAGCCGCGGCGCCTTTCTGTGTCCTCCACATACCTCGTCTGCGAAACGGGGGGAGAACTACCGACCCCGTGGGGTTGTCATGAGAAGTAACACTTGGCGCTGTTGTTATTACCGTTATTATTACTTTTGAGTCGAGGTCTCACCCTGTCGCCCAGGCTGGAATACAGGGCCACTGTCACAGTTCACCACAGCCTCCACCTCCTGGGCTCAGGCAGTCTTCCTGCCTCAGCCTCCCAAGTAGCTAGGACTGCAGGCATGTGCCACCATGCCTGGCTAATTCTCTTTTTGTTTTTGTTTTTGTAGAGAAGAGGTCTCATTATGTTGCCCAGGGTGGTCTCAGACTCCTGGGCTCAAGCGATCCTCCTGCCTCAGCCTCCCAGCCTCCTGGGATGACCGGCGCAAGCCACTGCGCCCAGCCTGTCATTACTTTGATTAGTACTATTTATTTTCTTTTCTTTTCTTTTTTTTTTTGATTTGGAGTCTCACTCTGTCGCCCAGACTGGAGTGCAGTGGCCGCTCCCGGCCACCGCAGCCTCGACCTGCTGGGCTCTGGCGATCCTTCCAAGTAGCTGGAACTACAGGCGCGTGCTACCACACCCGGCTGATTTTTTGATTTATTATAGAGATGAGGTCTCGCCAAGTTGGCCAGGCGGGTCTCGAACCTGCCGGCTCAGGAAGTCCACTCACCTTAGCCTCCCAAAGGTGCGGGATTACAGGCTGAGCCACCGAGCCCGGCTTGGTTAGTACTATTTGCCCCTCACCCATCTCCTCCTCTGGCTACTCCAGTCCTGCTGCCTGCCTCTGGGTGTCTCTTCTGCCCCAGAAAGTATTTCTTATCAACTTCCTGTTAGCCAGGGGTGAGCCTCCCAGCAGATAGAAAACCAAACTTCTTGCCATCGGTGACCGTATGTTCCAGGTGTGGAAGGACAGAGAAGTGAGGACAGAGAGGTGGAGAGGCAGGGAGAGAGACATGGTGAGAGAGACACAGGGAGACTGAGGCGTGGAGAGACACAGGCTGAGCAGGACGGGACGCGAGGACAAGGACAAGCTCGGCTGCCCCAGAGCCCCAGCCCCACCTTCATGCCCAGCGGGTGCCCCGTCTGACCCATCCTTTCAGGTACACGCTGCCTTGGCACCCACAGGCCAGAAGGGTCCGCTCAGGTGACCGCATGGGCTGGGGCCTCTGCAGCAGGGTGGCTGGGGGTCAGACAGCAGAAGGGACCGGCCAACTTCAGCTGGGTTCTTGGGGACAAAGGCACTTGGCCCGCCTCCAGGACTGAGGGGGTGAGGGAGAGGCCCTGGCTGTCCCTCCCCCTTGCAGCCTCCAGGCACCCCCTCTTACTTCCTCCCCTCTATCCCCATGGCTTCCCGGGCTGCCGCCCAGCCCTCCATCCCTGCTGCGCCCCGCATCCTGGGGGGCAGGAAGTTCCAAGCAGCCCGGCAGTGAAACTGTTTATTTTTAGAGAAAATTGTTTCCATAAAGGGGAAAGGCCTCACTCCCTCCGCCTCCCCTCCTTTCCCTGCCCCCTGCCCAGGCCAGCCCAGCTCAACTCTCTGCTTTGGGGTGGCTTGGGGTCCCCTTCTCCAGGCTCATCCTGTCCCCTGTGTGCCCTGATCCTTGCAGGAAGACTCCCTGCTTGTCACACCCCAGTTCCCTTTGTGCCCGGTGGCCAGCTCCGGCCGAGGGGAGGGGGTGCAGGAAGGGTGGGGCCTGTCGGCTGGGGGGGCTCAGCCCAGGGCCCTGTGGAGGCAGGGCTGCGGGAACAGCTGGAGTCTGTCCAGCGGCTGGACAGATGTGCGAGCCGGTAGTGAGGCTGTGCTTCTTTGTTCCAGGCCTCAGGGCTCCTCTGCCCCCTGCTGCAGCCAGGCGGGGTCCTGGACCTGGGTGGGGGCTGGGCGTGGCATCCGTGAAGGGGGCTGGCTTGATCTTCTCCCAGATCCTCCTGACTCCCGGGCCTGTGGCTCCCTCTCCCCAGGTCAGCCTCAGCCAGTGCTGCAGGCAGTCTGACTCACAGTTCCCCCAGTGAGTTCGGAGGAGCGTCTGCCCACCAGAGGATGGCCCAAGTCCTGCACGTACCCGCCGCCTTCCCAGGTCAGGCAGTGTTGGGGGAAGAGGGCCCTGCCCTGGGGAGTTGAGGGTTGGACAGCCCACCACTGGGGGTCTGAGGAGGGAGAGGGCCCTGGCCTGAGGGATTCAGGGAGGGCATGCCCAGCACTGGGGGTCTGAGGGAGGAGGCACAGCCCCGCTGTGGGAGGGCCTGAGGGGGAAGCGCAGCCCTACTCTGGGGGTCTGAGAGGAGACAGTCCCATTCTGGGGGTCTGAGGGGAAGACAGCCCTACTCTGGGGATCTGGTGGGAGGCACAGTCCTACTCTGGGGGTCTGAGCGGGGGAGACTTATTCCGGGGGTCTGGGGGGGCGGCATGGCCCTACTCTGGGGTCTGAGAGGGGAGACAGTCCTGTTCTGGGAGTCTGAGGAGAGACAGTCCTATTCTGAGGGTCTGAAGGGGGAGGCATGGCCCTACTCTGGGGGTCTGAGAGGGGGATACACAGCCCTGCTGTGGGAGGATCTGAGAGGAAGGCATAGCTCCACTCTCCCCAGAGTGGGGATCTGAGGGGCAAGCACAGTCCTGCCGTGTCATCAGAGACAGGACGAGGCCTCGCCCTGGCTGGGGTCTGAGACCAGAGACAGTCACGGTGGGCGGGCTCGACACTCTTGGACACATGAACTGCGACCCTCCAGGGCCTTGGCTTCTGGAACCTGAGGCGGGGGAAGACAGCCTCCTTGGGCCTCAGTTTCGCCATCTGTCTCCTGAGGCTGGATGAAAGGCACTGGCCACCGTGGGGGGCCTAGCACAGGCCCGGGCCGCGGTGTCCAGAGGCATGCCCGTCTCCCCCCAGGCACCCCTGGCCCGGCCTCCCCGCCGGCCTTCCCCGCCAGGGACCCCGACCCGCCCTACTCCGTGGAGACGCCCTACGGCTACCGCCTGGACCTGGACTTCCTCAAGTACGTGGACG